TGGGGGGTCCCAGGGTGGTTTGGGTGGGGTTGGGGGGAGTTTTGGGGGGATTTAGGGGGATTTTGGGGGTGGGAGTTTGCGGAAGTTTTGGAGTGGGTTTAGGGTGGCACTTTCAGTGTTTTTGAGGTGGGGTTTAGGATGGTTTTGGGGTGGGTTTGGGACTTTTTTGGGGTGAGTTTTTGGGCTGTTTTTGGGGGTGACTTTGGGGTGGGTTTTGAGGGTGCTTTTGGGGATGTTTTGGGATTTTTTGGGGTCAGTTTGGGATGTTTTTGAGGTGAGTTTTGGGGGTGTTTTGGGATGTTCTTGGGGTGGCTTTTGAAGTGTTTTTGGGGTAGGCTTTGGGATGGTTTTGGGGTGGCTTTTCAAGTATTTCTGAGGTGGGTTTTGGGGTCTTTTAGAGGTGTTTTTAGGGCTGTTTTTTGGGACTGTTTCCAGGGCTGGTTCAGAGCACTCGGGTGACTCAGGGTGGTTTTGGGGGTGTTTTGGGGGTATTTTGGGGACTGGTTTTTGGGGCTGGTTCCAGGGCTGGTTTTGGGGTGAGTTTGGGGTGTTTAGGGTCTCTCTGACTGCTCTGCTGCTCCATAACTTGGCGATGCTCCGGACAGACTCAGAGCTCTCGGGCAGCTCAGGGTGGTTTTGGGGGTGGTTTTTGGGGTGTTTTTTGGGGGGGGTTGGGGTATTTTGGGGGTTAGTTTTTGGGGCTGGTTCCAGGGCTGGTTTTGGGGTAAGTTTGGGGTGTTTGGGGGCTCTCTGACCGCTCTGCTGTCCCATAACTTGGCGATGCTCCGGACGGACTTGGAGCCCTCGGGCGGCTCCAGCTCCTCCCTCACGTCCTCGATGGGCGGCTCCTCCCCCCCCCCTCGGAGCCTTCAGCCTCGTCCTCCTCCTCGGCCGCCTCCTCCAGGTCTGCCAGGAGCTCGTCAGCCAGAGACATCCTGCAACTGGGGGGACTGGGAGCACTGGGAGGGCAACTGGGAGCACTGGGAGAGAGCAGGAACCACCCAGTCAGGGACATCCTCAAACTGGGGAGAACTGGGAGCACTGGGAGAGAGCAGAGACCCCCCCAGTCAGAGATATGGATGAACTGGGAGCACTGGGAGAGAGC